GGGGGGGAGGTTGCCATTCGACCTATTTCACTGCATCCAAAACCGTTGCTGCTCCTCCACTATCGACCAAATTTTCTCCTTCCCACACCATCGACTGACTCATCTCCGGTTAGTTTATACGTCTTTTCTTGTTCGATTAGGAGACTGGTCTGATATCAATTCCACGTTTGATATCCAACTCGTTCTCTCCTATTGTTTTTTATTGTTTGTTCCAATTCCACGGTATGCAACATCACCGACTCACGGATCTCAGCCATTTTCTAATGAATTCGGAGAAAGCAGAGTTTCCACTCCCTACTGCATCCCGAACTCCGAATCCTAAAATTTTTCATGGATTGGAATTTATTTTTAAAATTTGAAGAATAATGAAGAAAAAATTCAATATTTAATATTTTTTTATTAATGCTTAATAATAATATCAATTATCAAAAACAATAGAGATACTTTAATACAATATGTAAACATTAAGAATAGAATTAGACAATTAACTAAATCATAAAAATAATTAAAAAACTTGTCCAAAATTTAGTGATAACTACAAACGGCCCTAAACATTTCATTGATGAAGAGCCTGTTAATGCTACGTAAGGCCATCTAAAAGGTATAAGTTGGTTTTGAATGTTGATAGTTTATATAAATAGTTTTTCAAATATAAAAGATATATATAAGTAATTAACACTTTTATATGGTACGTAATACCAAAATTAAGGAATGAAGACAAAAGTAGGATGCACATAAGGTTCAGTGACCTTTGCATGGAGACCCTACAGTTGTACTAATTTGACCCTATACCTATATATATGGTGGGACCACAAATGATCAAATGACATTACTTGCTTCCTACCACCGTCAAATTAAAGCATTCGACCACCTCTTAACTTTTATAAATCTTAAAGCCTAAACCCAGGACTCTTAATCAATGGGGGTTGAAATTAAAATGCATGTAATGATGAGAAGCATGCCGTCGAACCGAGTGGGAGCTCTCTCATCCAATGCGTCATCTAAAATCTTCCACAGGCTCAGTTTGGAAGGAATATTAATATAAAAATCTAGTGTAAAATAGGGATTTAAACGGATTGGGTCCGATTTGAATTTGGTTCGATACTGTTTATGTTGGATCCAGTCGTTTCAGACATTCGATTGAATTTGATAGGATTTGCTTTGATTTGAATTTAAATGTTATCGGTAAGTCGGATCTGATTTGATCCGATTTGTTTTTTTATAAATTAATAAATTATTAAAATAAAAAAATATATATTAATTTAAATAAAATAAAAAACAAAAAATACAAATACTTTTTTATTATATATATATACATGTTTTTATAACAAAATAAATATAAAAACATATATTTATAAATAAATAAATAATATATATATAAAGTATTATATATTTACATTTATAAATATATAATATGTATGGGATCCGATCTTCTCAGATTGGATAAGGATAATCCAAATCCGATACAATATCCAATCCGATCCGAAGATAGAAATAGAGGTGATCCAAATAGGATCGGATCCGAGATCAGTGATCAGATATAATTGCATGATGATAAAACTCAGTGTATATGACATATGCTGGGAAGTGGCCTGGAACCATTCTTTAATCAAATCAAATAATGTCCTTCCTAACCCAACATTTAGTCGGTGGCGTAAAGCAAGCATCAGATATTAAAGTAATTAGAACTTGACTTTTGCCTTGCCCCTACGTATTTATTTGGACGTCCATCTCCTAATTGATGCTGCTATACCTGCTACTTCATGACAGAACGGGGAATAAATCAATGCAAATGAAACTGAAACCCCACTATTTTAACGAAAGGAGAAATCAAATGCATGAAGCAAGCCACCTGATAAATTTTGTTTTGTCTACTCAAACAATGGAACAACTGAACCGAAATATTATTACTCCATTCATCTTGTCTCTGTACATTATATGCTAACTCAAGCTGTGCATCCGGACTCTGGTTCCATGTTGCTTCACTCAATGCAACAAAGAGTCAAGAGGTGGGGCTGGGTACCGGATACCGACTGCTCAACTGTAATTGATCTTCGCCTTCGGTGGTTGGAAGCAATACATTTCAAACGAAAGAGAGAGAACCCCTGTAAATCTAAGACGACGACTACAATAGATTAATAAGATCGAGTCAGTTGTATATGGGATATGTAGCTGCTGCTTTCGCTTTTTCCGTGTTAAGATCACTAATCAATACAGTAGATACAATATAGGCAGGTTCTCACGCAACTCTGCAGTCTGCAGTACTAGGCAGACTTGTAAATGAATGTCCAAGTTGGTTCTTCCTTTCTAATTCTAGCAAGGTGAGAATATAATGGACCATTTCTTCTTGTTATTGGGTATCTGAATCTGAACAGTCGGTTCCGTCTCCTTGTATTTGTTAATTGTTAGCCTCCAAATCCGGGAGTCCAAAATCCAAACCACTCACAATCTCACATACATGTGGAAGGAAGGAAGCATGTAATTAACACACTTTGCTGATTTCCGTAGCATTTCAATTCAAAAGGTAACAGAGGATTTAATTTTTTTCCCTGCTATTTGGTCATGGTATTCATGAGGGGCTTATGGGTCCTGTCACCCCTTTACAGTTTGGATTATATGCATGGTCAGGAATCAGTATCAACCATTTTCAACTTGAAAAAAAAAAAATTGAAGTTAAAAGTCAAAATACTTCACATGTTCTGCATTTAAGACTCATCTGCGTATTTCCAAGGCAAAAGTCCTACCCCTAGCTTCTCAATTCTCATGCACTCTTGCTTCTCCTCTAAAGGACTCATATTCATGAGAGAGAGAGAGAGAGAGATCCTGTGATCTTAGGTTTCACGAGTATGTAAAAGACGGAACTGGTAAACAGTCTGACCCATTTCGCCAGAGTTCCCCAAAACTGCAATTAAACTTGACACGTGGAAAAAATCAAACTGATGAGTAGTTCAGCTGGTTAATCCAACAAAGAAAAAAAAAATCAAAAGTACGATTTTTCTTAGATGAAATCAATGAAACTCCTATCTATGAGTCTATGACAAATTTATGGAAGCGGTTGTTTTATTAGTACTGAGAGGTCGGGCATATCAAAGATAAAAACAAGAAAAACTAGTCATACATATAATATAGGGACTGGTGTAGACTATTAATGTAATAGATAGACCATAGATAAAAATTGGAGTACACTTCTTCGATCCGTAAGCAGCATGGCTTCTCAAATGTTTATGGAATCAAGGTATAGAAGTTTACAGGAGGTTTCCTTTTGTCTCCACTGCATCAGACATCAATTCAATTAAGCATCAGGACTGGACCACCTCCGTTGACCTCCTATGGAGGAGGAGGACTACTTTCACCGTTCTTCATATTAAATTTACTTATGTCTTCTCTCCGGCACCGTTTTTCACATTCATTTTGAAAATTCTGTTGTTTTACCATTATTTCTCATCGCGGTTCAGTACTTCAGTTAGGTTCCATCAATTTGTCACCTATCTAGCTAACTTAGCCTGACCATCGTTTCAGTTTCTGAATTTTTTCAGTTTTACTATTTCCCTTTCCGAACAGCTAGCAACTGCGGAACAAGCCATGCATCCAAAAGTCCAATGGTAGCTTGATGATACACGGGCCAGCTTCCTTAAAGTTTCAAGGAATTGAACATGCATGGATCTTCATTCTTCTCATCAAAAACTCTAAAGTCGTTCCCCCAACTTCTGCTAAGCTTACATGATTATAGGAATCAATCAATTAATTAAGCACTAAAAGCAATATTGGATTTGACTTTACAGTCCTGCACTGAATGGTCAGGCCCAAAAAAGAAAAAGAAAAAAGAACAGCATCTCTCCACTAAGAAAAAACCACGTAACATGCTTATTTACTGAGATTTTGACCATGTTAATTAATTTCAGCTTTACATTTTACACACATAACGAAATGACATTGAGCTAATCAATGGAGCATAGTAAATTTCTACAGGCACAGAGGGGCTTAGTTTCAAATCTCTGATTTTTCAGATAACCACGCAGAGAAGTAATGGCAAGCACAGCGTTAGATAATTCATATTTCTTTTTTCAACGCACAACATCTTCATGGTCTCTCTCATCATAAGTTCTGAACAAGGAAGTCTAAAAGAAGAGAAATTAAATAAATCCCGTTCTAGATATACACACCACAAGATGCACAAACTGCAAGGACTTTCACTTTCAGGCTTTACTCACAGTTTAGGCCTGGTATCATTGAATTAGGCATAATAAACCCCTTCTAAACAGACTTACTAGGATGGGAATTTTTATATAATTAGTCAATACATTCAAAATACTTACGGAGGCGTTTGTAAATTGTAATTTACACTTTCTCTACCATCATTAGCCATTTCTCATTAGGTGCATGGGTGATCCGATCTCTTTCAGATCAGGCCACACGGGAAGTCAAATGTGTTCAAGGCCTAGAAAACAAAAATAAAATAAAATAAAAAGATAGAAATTAACACCGAAGTGTCCCAAGAAATAAAGGGAGAGTTCCTTAGCTTGTTCCTATTTCAGAACATCTCAGCAGTGCCATATATTGACATCCCAATTAGGTCTTCTTCTGCTTGAGCCACACCCTCGTCAAACAGCCATTTTTCAAGAACTGAGAGAGGGACTTGGGTCTCCATCTTGGGTTTGCATTCATCTTGGAAGGTGTTAGTCTCCTGTTTAATATTGGTTGTCTCATCGAGGGATGCCGATTGAGAGACACCTGGGGTGGAAGAGTCCAGACCCAACAGCGATTCCAAGGCCTCTGGTGATACTATGTCAGTATTGTTGCTTGCGCTTGGTGTCCCCTCGCTATAAGTAGAATCAGTTCCAGTCATGTTGTTGACAGAATTCTGAGTTGTCTCAGATGTTGATCGTCCAGATTTTGGTGAATTTTTCATCCATCCTTGGAGTAATCTTGAGATATTCTCCGTGCTTGATGCATAGGTAGTTGCTTGGTTTGGTCGCATCATAGAGTAGAAGCCACTAGAAGCCTTCAAGTCACACAAACTACTTGGTTTCTCTAAAGACAAGGCCTCGCATAGAGCTTTCCTAGCCATGTGAATATCAGTTTGGAGCCTTCTCTCCCACTGACCTTTTGTCATGGACTGGGAATCGGAGAACCCATCCTTGGCATTACCATCAAGGCCCGTTTCAAATTTCTTGAGCTTCTTTTTCAAATGGGTATTCCAATAATTCTTAATATCATTATCTGTTCTTTGAGGAAGATAAGAAGCTATGGCGGCCCATCTGCAGTCAAACCACAGCTTCATTAATAATATATATATATATATATAAATCGTCACTTCATCCTGATAAACAATATAAAAAAAATTGATCGATGTCATTATGATATATAAAAATAATTAAAGAAGCTAGCTCAATTGATAAATCCAGAAATAGATAATGAATGGTAAACAATAGACCCTAAAGGCAGGAAATTCCTCTCCTATGCTATTTGCAGGTATGAGTATATCTATATATGTTTCTGAAAGGGAAGGAAGAAAGGCGTTTAATTACCTATTTCCCAAAAGTGCTTGAAGGTGGATTATCATCTTCTCTTCGTGCTCAGTAAAGTTCCCACGTTTAATCCCTGGCCTGAGGTAATTAGTCCATCTAAGTCTGCAGCTCTTGCTGCATCTGAGCAAACCTGACAAAACACAGATGGAAGAATCAATAATAAAACTAGGTCATATAAATAGTACATCTAACCCTGCAAATTCATCAATAACAAAACCAAGAAGATCATTGAAGACCTGTATTATCTCGAATATACTATTTTAATCATTATTGGTGCAACTTAATGTTGTCAAATTGATAAAACCAAAAGGCAAACATAGAAAAGACAATTGGAGTGAAGAAATTTAACTACCTGTATTGGCAGGAACAGCCCTCCAATTCCCAGGACCATGTTCTTGAATGTAAGAAACTAGGACGATATCTTCTTCTGGAGTCCAGGGTCCTTTCTTCACACCGACTTTTTCACAGCAAGGTGACCTACCCATAACGCCTTGTTGATCTATCTCTTTCTCACTTTAGTACTGCCAAGAGAGTCTGTGCTCCCCTTTCCGACTTTCGTCTTCTTCTTTCTTCTTCTGTTTCTTCTTCACTATGCTTATCTTCTTTCTTTCTTCTTAGAAAGCTGAGACAAGCGTCCAAGAGGAATCGTTTCTTTGTCGATATATATAGAAGTGACTAAAGGGGTCGCGTAAGCTGACCTTAGAAGGCAAAAGGTTACCTAAGAGAGTCAAAGAAGCCAGCAAGAGCATTTACTCATGGGCTTGCAAAAGTCAGCTGTTCGAAGCCTTCTTCTGCCTCGCAAAACCGCGTGGCATTCAATGTAATTGCACAGGGAAACCCTAAATCATGTTTACTTCTTTAAATCCCCAAACCCGTGATATTATCTCTCAAAGTTCTTGCTATGTCTTTCTTTTTTAAGCATTGGTTAATGCAGAATTCTTGCCTTGGCTTCACGTCCAGACCACCATGCGAAAAATCCAATCCATAGATTCCTCTCTCCCTCTCTCCCTCTCTCTCTCTCTCTCTCTCCTCTTACGTGCAGAATGCAGATACACTCAACTAGTTGCCTGTAACGGATAAGTCGGTCTCAAGACATTCAACCATAACGATTACCATGATAGTTGAATGGCACTTAACAAGAGGAGAGAGATGAGTGGATTTTATTTGTTTATTTCTTAGAGAGAGAAATAAAGAAATGGACTAAAATTTTGGGATAGTGATCGACCGATCGTTTTAGGTATTTTGGCATGAAGACAAAAGCAAGTTTTGTCATTATATAGTAAAGATGATGACGATGATGTATGGTGAAGTCATAATTGATTCCCATAGCAAATTAATATGGAAAAATATAATAATTCTCGAAAACGTATAGTGTACAAAACAGCTCTGATTTTGAAAAATACAGGATCCAAATTTTGGGAATTTTTAATTTTATGCATCTTAAGAAAATTAGCATATGTTGTAAATATGCTTTTCTTTTCTTCAAGCTTTATATGGGTGTGGCTCAATGTGAATTTCTTTTCTTCTTGTAAATTTCAAAAACAAATTAAAACCATCTGATATGAAATAAATTGTTTTTTAAAACAAAAACATAGAAAACATGTTTTTTTTGTTGTAAATGTATATTTTATTTCTAAAACTGAAATAAAAAAAAAAAAAAAAACTGTTCTTGAATTTCTAGTTGGGAAAACATGTTTTTTGTTTTAAATCATACAATACATATGTGCACTCCAACATTTGTTTTTATTTTTTAAAAACATCATTTTAATAGTTTAAAAAGCATGAATTCATTTTTGAAACAAAAGGCCAATTTATTTTTGCTTCTCATAATAAAATTAAGCACAGTTCAAGAATATGTTTTTAGTTTTTTTTTCTACAAAGCAAGTTCAAAACAAATGAAAACAAAAAAAGGGAAAAGTTGACTAGACTCCACCTCAGAAATCTGAATTGTAGCCTCTCCTAGACTATTAGTAGCCCCCCTCCTATAAATCGCATCCTACATGTGAATTTAGCATCAATCCACTCTTAAAAGTCCTAATTTCACCCTAGGGCTGGACTGAACTATAAAAACCAAAAAAAAAAATCATGTATTATATATTTGAACAATCTTTTATCTTATGTATTTATTTGATCAATTTTTCTAAGTCTCAGACCAAACATAACCAAAATGCTCACTGGGTCAAAAATTTACCGGTTATCCTGAAAATTATCTCATTGGTCACCGACGGGGTCACAGGTTCAATTATCTAGTCCAGTCCGATCCGAATATTGCAACGTTGGTATTTATGCCATACACCTGTTAGGAAATTTAGGCAGTTAGGTTCACACAAATATATACAGTACAAATATGTGAAAAGCACAATAATAGAAAAAAATACAAGATTTTACATTCTACACGCAATTGTTTTATGTTTGTATTTGCACTCCTTCTGAACCGAATGTTAAGCACAATACAATGATCTAGAAGTTCCAAATGCGTAAATTGGTAGGTTAAAAACCAATCATTTAGGAATGTTGTTAAAGCCTCAAGGCAAAGCAAAATAGAATGGGACCTGATGAGGGCAGATTTGGCCCTCCAGTGAAATTGCGACATGTAGCACCTCGTGACAACTAGGCAAACACCCAGGCAACAATTTACTAAGTTGGTATCCCACCCGGGCACCGGTCTGGCCGGCCTGGCGCGACCTGCACGCGGGCTACGGGCGACTTGCGTGCGACTTGGCGCGGCCTGTGCGACCTGGCCGACCTGGATCGGCCTGGCGCATGATCCGACCTGGCCGACCTAGCCGCCCATAAGACGCCCACTAATGAACCATAGCGGCGTACCCCGCGAGCTTGGTAGCCCACCAAGGAGCTCACCAAGGAGCTCGATAGCTCACCAAAGAGGTCGCCTAGGAGCTAGGCTGCTCTCCAAGGAGCTCGCCACCAAGGAGCCAGGCAGCTCGGCAGAGCTCGCCACAAACAACTCGGCATAGCTCCTCCGGGCAGCTCACCCTTTGTAGGGTAGCTCGGTACAGGAGTAGTTTGGCGTATCGCAGGAAGATCTCCTGCCTGACAACCTGGCCTAGACACCGATCCGCCGACTGACACAGGTGCCGACCAGACAACCTGGCCCAGACACCGACCTGCCGACTGACACAGGTGCCGACCGGACAACCTGGCCCAGACACCGACCCGCCGACTAACGCAGGCGCCGCCGTGACAACCTGGCCCAGGCGCCGACCTGGCCGCCTGACACAAGCGCAAGCCTAACGACCTCGAGGAGTTCACCACCGCACCCCGGTTCTAACGAGATGTGACGAGTCTTACCGTTTGGAGGCTTTTCACCCACCTAACCCGCGAGGACTCCGGTATATAAAGACCTCACCCCCCAAAGGGGAGGGAGGAGGAAAATAGAATGGTAACCCCTGCCCTCTAGCTCTCTCACTTCTCTCCAAGCTCTCTGTAATCAGAATGCTAACTTAGGCATCGGAGAGCCCCCGCCGGGAAAATACCCTCGGGTCCTCTGATTCAGTTCTTGCAGGTCCCTCATCTCCCGCCGCCTACAAAGGAGAGGAAATCACCTAACGCAGAGGGTAGTCGGGTTGCGCTGCACCAGGGAGCTCCACCATTCTCTGAGTTGCAGGCCGCCTAAGAGCAAGTCAAATAACGAGGGAGTTCGCCACCAGGTAGTTCGCCCCCAGGCAGTTCACCACCAGGGAGTTCACCACCAAGCAGTTCGCCACCAGGGAGTTCACCACTAGGCAGTTCGCCACCAGGCAGTTCGCCCCCAGACAGTTTGCCCCCAGGCAGTTTGCCACTAGGGAGTTTGCCACCAGGCAGTTCGCGACCAGGGAGCACCACCAGGCAGTTCGCCACCCGGTAGTTCGTCACCAAGTAGCTCTCCACCAGGGAGCTCGCCACCGGACAGTTCGCCACCAAACAGTTCTCCCCCAGGGAGTTCGCCACCAAGTAGCTCATCACCAAGGCACATCACCATCGGGTTAAATAACGAGGTACTTAACCAAAAAATTTTATACATCACAAAAAATCGTACGTGACCAAAAACGATTAGATCAAGACCCACCCGTTACTGAAAACAGCTTCATCTAGCTAACAGATTGATATTTACATGGTCAAAATTCAATTTTAATAGGATATTTGGATGATTGCAGATGGAAAATTTAATGCTATGAATCCGGATGGTTAGAAAAAAGAAAATATACAAAATCAGATGGTGAAAGATGAAATAAATAAGCTTTTTTTTTCATTTCTGGCGCTGATGACATTTTAGGAAGGACGTACATCAGTTCACAGTTGATGGCCGGGGCTATTATTATTAGTCTGTATGTCTGTCATTTTATCTCAGCCTTATTGTAATATTATGGCTCAAGGCCTTTAAATAATTTAATACTTTAGAAAAATGTGATACGTGTTATTTCCTTACTTGGTTATCAAAAGAAGAAGTGACAAAATTAATCGAGATTCATCATCCATCATCTATGTAATAGATATTTATGTGACTAAGTTTCAATCCCTTTCGGTGCATTTAAGTATGATCCAGCCATGAGATGTTGGATTAGGTTCACGTTATATTCGACGTAGGATCATGTCTTTGTCCCAAGTTCCGCAAGTCATCCCGTGCATCTAATGAAATGTAATGTCACGGAGAGAGAGACCGACCGTCCTTCCCCATTTAGTCATTTACCGGACGAGAGACCATCTCCGTTGTGTTCACAATAATCCCAACCCAGGCCCATTATTACTGCAACTGCAACCTCATGGACGTCGTTAAGCCCATAATTATCCAATTAAGCACCATTTATTTATTTGTGAAGCACAATAATTTAGATTCCTGAGATATCATCGATCTCCTGAGTTCTCCCTATATTGATGTTTTGATCTTATAAAGTTTCGGTTAATAAGTAGGGACAGTAATACATTAACTTACACCTTGACTTATATACCCGTAAATATAATATGCAGGGATTTCATGAAAGATCTGATGTTACAAAAATTTAATATAATTACCTTTAGCCTAGCCAAAAAAAAAAAATGTCTCCTAACTTCAATTTCATTTTTTGATTGCAATCATCACCCGTCACCATTGCAATAATTGTTGCAGTAGCTGTTATGACGGTGGGTGGTCCACTAGGTCTCTGTAAAGGAGGATAAGAACCGAGTTTCCATTGTTTCCTTTTGTATTTACTGGTAATTATATATATAAAGATAGGCTAGCTGGTTAGTCTTTCTTTCATTTATTGAATTGTTTAATTTTAATCACTGAAGTTAGTGTATGTCATTATATTTGAAATGATGGCTAAACGTAATTAAATGGAGTTAAGGTTTTATAATGATACCAGAATATATATAATACTAATGTTGATATAAATAATAATATAATAAAGTGATGAAAGAATGTTAATGAGAAGGGAGAGAAAATGAAAGGGGTAGCACTACTACTTGTTATACTTGACATATAATTTAAAATGTTAAAATTGGTCTACCTTCAGCTTATATTAGTTGCTGCCAAAATATAAAACTTTGGCTTAATTTGCATGAAATATTTCTTTGTCTTTAGGGTGATCATAACATATGATGCATGTGGTATGAATTAAATAAAAAGAGAATTTGTTTCAAGATGAGTACAGCAGAAAGACGAGATT